CATACATTCCAAAAAATTTGTACATTTGGATCATAAAATCCGATATTGATTTTTTTTCTTCTATAATCTTGAAAAAAAGGATCACAAACAGAAAAAACACTAGTATCTTTTATGGAATTATTTAGAATTGCATTTGGAATAAACCTATACATATCTTGAGTGGCACTTTTGTGTAATGTCCCCAAAAGTAGTGATTTTGGGGAGAAAAAAATATTTTGACAATTTAGATTTAGACCTAGATCTAGCATTCAAAAATATTGATTTCTCAATAACATTGCATATGGCAATTTGAGTCCAATAGTATTAGAAAGAAGAGTCTGACATTTCTTTAGTTAGCAAAATAAAGATACAGTTTGTTCTGTAGAAGTACTAAGACTGGTGTCTGGGCATCGGGATAAAACAACATCGCATAAACTACGAAATCGCGTTTCAAAACTGAATCTAAACTTCTGATTTTCGGTGGAAACGCTTGACCCGGAAGTCAATGTTATATTATAACCTTTATTTTAACATGGATACGTGGATTGGAATAAAATCTAAGCTAGAATTATCGGTCGGTGCTCGAGCGGTCGGGGGCGGCTTAGAGTATTGATGAAGACAATTTCGACGCGCCGCTGCCCACGGCTCGACGTTGCGAATGAGTTAAATCGTGTTAACTAGTTTAATCATCGAACAGCCCAAGCTCTTTGCTTCACTTTCATTTTTTAAATTCTTTTATTCTTTCTTTTTCTGTTTTTCTTATCTCTTCTTTCCCCTTCTTCTTGAACATTAGGAGTTTGGAGCCAAAAGACCCAAATTTCTGGGATTTGGCTTCAAACTGACAACCCTGACTGTGACTATTCGGACACGAACAGTGACGAATATGATGCTGTGGAGCATCAGCCCTAACCCCCCCCCCCCCACTTCCACTGATAGAAAAGATAGAGCATTTGATTTATTATCTCATGGTCCAAGTAACCCAAAACGGCCAAAAATGTCGGATAGAACTTTGTTATTCGGAGGTAGCTATTTGTATATCGCAAATTCCCACTCAACAGCAAGCTCTATCTGCAGCATGGCGGAGCGGAGCAGGGTGGGGCGGTGAATTGTAATGCAAAGACAATTAGGCTTGGAAAGGGTAGATAAAAAATCAAAGCAAACTATTGTAGACTTGACAGAACGTCGGGTTGTGAACTCAACTCGCCCAAAAAAGTCAAGGAACAACTTGTGTTTTCATCTTTCAAATTTAAACTTCAATATCTAACAAACCCGTTAAGATCAGTCAACCAAACTTGGCACAGGCACTGACGATTAGACACAGTTTGCTTGTACAGCAAATTTGCCTGCACCAGCTTCACAGTGACGGCGCAGGGCATTCTGATACACAAGCGAAAAGCATGAAAAATGGGCTAAATTTCTCTACTTCAGCAACATTGGTATAGGGACTGTTAGCTAAAACTAAGCTTGGCACGTGCTAACAGATATCTTAGCTGTGAATATTGCTCACTTACAACCTTTTATAAGCCAGCGTTTTTTAGCCATGTTTCATTACAACTCGATGGTCCGACGACGCTCGCTGCCTGACGTCGACAGCCCTTAGCTGACTCCAAGATGGCTCCACGTTCCGAGTCGTTGCACATAGACTTGAGGTGTCCCCATCAGTCATACAGAGGCTGCAAGAACGATGGTAAGCGACCGGAAGGGTCCTGGACAGACCTCGACCAGGACCCCCCGTTTGACCAACGACAGCATCGACCGGTTCATTGTTAGACAGGCCGTGACGTCCCGAACCACTACTGCAAACCGCGTCAGGGACCAACTACGAGTGACAGCCTATGTCCAATAGAGCGAGGAGACTGTAAGGAACTGTATCCGTAGAGCCAAGTTCGCTTCTCGTGTCCCTGCCAGGCGCCCAAGGCACACGCCGCCCAAAGGCACACGCCGCCCCACAAAGCAGCTGGCCGGGCGTGGTCTGCTCGCCATTCACAGTGGACACAATGTCAGTGGGACCAGGTAGTCTTCTCGGACGAATCCAGATTCAACCTGCTGCACCCAGACAGGCGAGCCCACGTCTGGAGGCGCTGAAGAGAGCTGTTCCACCCTGAGTGCATCCAGCAGGTGGTGCCCTACGATGGAGGGTCCGTTCTGGTGTGGGGAGGCTTCTCAGCTCACCACAAGACCCCCTGTACCATATATAAAGGGCAATTTGGCCGCGACAAGGTACAAGGAGGTAATCCTGAGTCCCCTTACTGTTCCTCTCCTGCAGCAGTTTGGACCCCAGGCTGTACTGCAGGACGACAACGCCGCGCCACATCGTGCACGCATCGTGGGGGACTTCCTGCAGCAGCGAGCTATCACCCGCATGGACTGGCCAGCTTGTAGTCCGGATTTGAACCCTATAGAAAAATTAGGGATCTCATTGACCGGTGGATAAGGGACAACCACCCACCTGTAAAAAAACGTTCAACAACTCTTGGGCTGCCTCGTCCAATAGTCGGCAGAACATACCGCAACAAATTCTCCGAAGGCATGTCCTGTCCATGCATCGACGTTTGGCCGAGTGTTTGATCAAACGAAGTGGCTACACCAACTATTAACAATGTTTATGAAAAACTATGGCTTTCACACTTTTGAAATCCGACAAGTGTGAATTAAACTCATTTTACATGAACTTCTCGTTTTTGTTGAAATCTGAAATTGTACACACTTAATCTAAAGAGTCGAAAGGCTCTTTTTTGAAGAAAAAAAAAGAATAAATTCAGTTAAAGTGTTCTTCAATTATCTTTATTTGAATTTTTGTTCCCTGTGCGAGTTTAGGTCTAAGTGCAGACGAAGTAAAGTTTGTTTAACAGAGTCTTATATACGCCTATGCGTATTAACAATTTTTAAAAAACCCATTATTATAACTGGACTACTTTTTTGCACGCAGGTATCTTGTAACTAAGTCACTACACTATGAATGACATGATTGATGATCTCCTCTCAATTATCTAACAAACATAATAACATCTACCGACTACCGACCCCATCGTTCGCCCCAACAATCCCTTCATCTACACTTTCCATTCTCTCTCTCTCTCTCTCTCTCTCTCTCTCTCTCTCTCTCTCTCTCTCTCTCTCTCTTTCTCTCTCTCTCTCTCTATATATATATATATATATATATATATATGTATATATATATATATATATATATATATATATATATATATATATATGTATATATATTTATATATATATATATATATATATATATATATTATTATTATTATTATTATTATTATTATTATTATTATTATGGGGACTCTCGTGGCCTAGAGGTTAAGGTATTTGCCTCTCATGCAATAGATCGAGGGTTCGAATCAGGGCAGCGACGGAAAATTTTCTTCTTTAAAATTGTCTCCTTTCACATCCTTTTCTGCTCTCTGACAATGTTCTTTCGTCTACTTTCGTCTCTACTTTCGTCTCCACTTTCTGCCCCCACCCCTCACCTCTTTTGTCCCCTCCTCTGGGCTCCTGGCTCTTTCTGCAGCCTTTCTACTGCTACTCCTTGAATCCCTCTTACTGTTGTCTTTCAGCCACACCCCTGATCTTATGGCAGGTAAGATCTACACTTAGAGTGAAAAAATCTCTGACGTCCCGTGTGCAAGTTGTGCACGTAAAGATCCCTTCGTGGTTAAAAATGGATATGAGTAGTAGGCTTTGGCCTCCACACGGGCAAAATTCAGAATTTCATACCAATTGAAAATGTTTAATATATCCCGCGCGCTCATATGACCTTATGCAGTTAAAAGCGCCGTAAAAACACTTACCAAAAAAAAAAAAAAGCTGCGGTGTCGTGTTACATGAATAATGGTAATTTCAACCATGCACACCTTAAGGCGAAGTGCTACTGACCTTGCACTCTCTCTAGAATTCTCCGTACAAAGGTTTCTCTGATACCCAGAAATTATTACGATCTATTTTCTGAGTAACTTGTTTTGAGAAATTTGACGTAAAAGTTTTGAGTGTCACAACATGTCAAGTTTTTCCGAATGCAGTTCTTAGAATATCTTGAAAACGACACTGGATGATTTTGATAGAGCATATAGTTCATATAGAATATTAATTGGTTTCTGGTCTCATTGTCTCAGTAACTCAAAAAGACCAAAAGTCAGACAGAACTGTATAGTTCTTGGGTAGCGAATTTTCTTCAGTGAGATCTGGTCATGGGTAATAGTGAGGGTCTTGAATGAATACATTTAATCAACATTCTTGGGCAACAATAATAATGATAATGGCATTACACTGTATATAATCCTAAGGAAGAATTTGACGGAATGAACAAGTCGGTCAAGAAAGTGTTGTTACATGGCGTGAACCATCAGCTGGACAGTTTACCCAGATCAGATTTATGATATGGACTCAGGGTAAGTGTTCTACACCCTCGAAACTGCATAAGGTCATATGAGCGCGCAGGACACACCAAAAGTTTTCAGTTGGTAGGAAATTTTGGCGACGTAAGCCTACTCTTATCGGTTTTGGACCACCAAAAAGAAAGGGATCATCAACGTGCGCAACGTGCACTCGGGAACTCAGGGATTTTTCGCCATTGTCCGAGAAGGCTAGGTGTAGATCTTACCTATCATAAGATCAGGGGTATAGTTGAAAGACAGCAGTGAGAAGGAGCCTAAGAGGAGCAGTAGAAAGGCTGCAGAAAGGCTGCAGAAAGGCTGCAGAAAGAGTCATGAGCCTAGAGGAGGGGGCAAAGGAGATGATGGGGTGGGAGAAGATGGTGGAGACGAACGCAGACGGCATAACATTGTTAGAGAGCATTAAAGGACTTGAAAGGAGACAATTATAGAGAAGAAAATTTTCAGTCGCTATCCGTATTCGAACCCGCAGCCTATTGAATGAGAGGCGTACACCTTAAGCTCTAGGCCACGAGAGCCCACAAATCACTCTGTTTAATCTTCTGGGGTCTTTGCATGCGGGTCTAATGCAATAATAATAATTTGCTTTCTTTTGATAGGAACAGACCTGGAAAAAAAGATATCATTTTTACGTGAAACGTCACAACGACGTCCAAACATATCGATCCAAGCACGCTACGACACGGGTCGACTGGCTATTGTGGACGTCGGAAAGAGAAATATCAAGTCTACGTCTGCTCCCCACTTATATCAGGAGGGGGAATCATCCACCTCATCTTCGGGGATTTGCCCTTTTAAACCACCTGATCTCAGTGAGTATTACGTTTCGAGCGCATTGAACTAAGCAACGAGAAGGGCTGAATTGTAGTTTGGAAGCAACGCTGAGCTAATCTATAATCATTGATGTTTTGCTCAGAAGATTGTACAGACAACAGATTTTTTCACAAAGCTAACTTATAATCTTTGACATTTTGCTAAGAAGATTGTACAGACAACAGAAGCTTTCACAAAGGAAAAGAAGAATCAAGCCACACAGATTTTAACGATTATGATTACGAGTCTCTTAACCCTTCCCTGGGTTGGGGGGGGGGGTGACTGCATTGTTTAACGCTGCACCAGCTGTCTCCACATCAGACTGTCATGAGCAAGGACTTGGATAGAGGCAATGCTCTACTCTGCCTGCCTCTTCTTCTTTCACCCTGAACTGTCTATTGTAGGAGGGTCTTCAATAGACTGCGGCTCTTGTCATATTATTATGACCATACCATTGAATTTTTCTTTTCACGGAGGTAGTTAGCAGTTCAGAAGCACCCGCAAAGCTACCAGCCAACTGCGACAGTGAGATAATAATAATTTCGGTCAACAAAGGGACGTAAACGTGTATTTACAAAATTTACAATGGTCTTCAGCATAATACACAAAACAGATTTCAAGGGCACCTCCTACCCGTAACATTTTAACAGGTTGGTGTTAACTTGTTTAATAATTAATCAAAGTAAAACAATCAACTTGTTTGTTTTGAAAGTTTAAGGAAAGATAAGTGCATTGAAAAATTAATGGTCATTTATAAGATTATTATTATGGAAAGTAAAGACATAGGACCTATCAGTGGCATCCTCCAACCACCCACAAAGTAAAACAAAGTAAAACGCGTTGAATAGAGTATGAACAAAAACTGAAAATTGGATTAATTAACTATCCAAAGAAAAACGAAAGTATGGGTGAATTTCAGAAAGGATAGAAGTAAGGGTAAACAAAAGAATGACGGAACGATTGATTGAATGGATGGATAAATGAATGAATGAATGAATGATTGACATTGTGACTGATTAGATTGATGAACAAATGGATGAGTGAATGAATGAATGAATGAATGAATGAATTTTGTATCACTGATCAATCAATCAATCAACCAATCAATCATGAAATCATTCAATCAATCAATCAATCGGTCAATCAATCAATCAATCAATCAGTCAACAAAATTCAGTAGAGCACTAACAAATACACAGCAATTTTTCTCTTCGACAATGAGCAAATTTTGACCTTTAAAGGGGGGGGGGCTACACCTGGAAACTATCTCGCTTATTACTAGGCCGAATTTTACTTAATTTCACACATATAACAAGCATAGTAAGGAGTCTTAAAATCCGCAATCAAATTTGAGAAAAAAGTTTCGTTTCCATGGATACGCCGCCATATTGGATTTTATTGACATGTCTTACGTAATCAATACCGCACTTATCGCTCATGGAAATTGATTGTTTTTTCGCATGCATGTTCACAAACAATATACCTAAAAATTTATTTTGTTGTTTTTTTCCTAATAGAATCAGAAAATTTTTAATGAATTTTTTCCTGAGGTAGCATTCAAGTTTGCGAAAAAATCCGTGAAAATCCACACTCCAGACACCTCCAACAAAAATCTATTCCATATATCAAACATTCAACAGACAAATTTTTAGTATTACCTTTTCTCTTCATGCTGTGAAAATTTCATGAATGTTGGATGAAAAATGGTGGAGTTATTAAAAAAAGTATAGAGAAAAGTTGCATTTTGAGAAAACGGCCGATAAAGAAAAATAAAATACTGACTTTGTGAGGAAATGGCGGTTACCAGTTTTTGGGGGTTCTTATGCCATGAGATAGTTGTAGGAGAGGCTGAGGAAGCTAAAAATGCCTACAACGCAAATTCCATGATTTTGAGCCACACACACACACACCTTAATGTAATATTTCTTTCACTTTGACTCTCCAGAAGGCATCAGGGTTGCCTCTCAAGAACACATTACGCCAGAAAAACTGATCGAAAAATTCCCGTTCATGTCTGGAGGAAGCCATCGACCCCAGAGCTGTAGGTCTGCTGAACGTTTGGCCATAATCATCCCCTATAGGAACCGGTTCGAGCATCTGCATATTCTCCTCAATACTTTGATTCCTTTGCTTGTCCGACAGTTAGCTGACTTCCGCATTTTTGTTATAGATCAGGTAGGTTCGGTTCTACGATCATCATCATCATCATCATCATCATCATCATCATCATCATCATCATCATCATCAACACAGACCAAACAATTTCCATTTTTCTTGTTTTGTTTTTCTTGAAGCTTAACAATTTGTTAGCATATTTTTACTTAACTTACAAATATCGGCACCAAAATCAGGACTAGGGACTAAAAGAAAAAGGTAAGATAGAATCTCATTTCTGTTTGAATTTTTAAAAAAGAATATTCTCATCGTTTTCGAAACAAAATCACTTTGCTTCTTTTCTGCCTGTTATTGGAAGACAAATCTGCGAAAAATTCAAAACAAAACGTTACTTCCCTTTCTTTCTGTTGACTGTTATTACCTATCGCTTTTTATATCGTCGGTATCACAAACAATCCGCCAAAGTACAATTGGGAACTTTTTACAACAGAGATAAAAAAAACTAGTTTTCTTTCCGTTGCTCCAGTCAGGAATCATGAAAAGCAACAAAGTTGTAAACCTTTACCAAGTATTTATATATAGCTTTTTGGTCGGGTGTAAAAAAACGAAAAATCTCAAAATTTGGAATGAGTGGATTGCTTTGCGACAGCAACAATTTTTCCCCAGTGTCTCTAAAGACAGTGAAATCAAATTAAACAAGCAATAGATAATAATGTGGTTTCCCAGGGGACTGTTGAACATTTCTTGGAAGAAAAAGACATCCAACGAGATAGTATACCTCTCGTAGGTAGAAGCCCGCGTGGACCGCTGCACATCGGAATAGCCAGCAAGCATAATACTGGAACAGCAAGTTTGCACACTCGTCAACATATGAATAGCCAGCTTGGGTAATACTCAACACTGGAATAGGGAGCATTTCTGACACTAGAATAGCGAGTTGTTGTTTGGTTTTTTTCTTATTGTTACAAACAGAAGAAGTTGGTATCGTTAAAGATCCATGAGCAATTTCCATCGAAGTATCGACTTCGGCCCTATCACAGAGAGAACACTCACACATATACAGTAGAAGTTCGTAAAATTATTGTTATTGTAAGTTGTATGCGTATGTAGGAATGTCTGTCGTGGATCTAAAGACTCTCCTTGTTTCGCTGTTGTCACCAAGATCTGTCAAAACAATAATGAACAGAAAACCAGTTTCCTGAAAACGTCTTCTCAAAGCAGTTGAGACCTAAAAAAAAATAGATCAATAATAATGAGCAAAAACACACTGAGGATGATTTTGAAGGAAATGGGAGGTGGTATTTAATTAATGTTTTGGTTCATGCTTCATTCTGAACGTCGTTGCTATAATATCAAAAGCCATATATGGTAATTTTTCGCAAGGAAAGGAAATGGTGTCAGAGTTGACAGTCGTGTGTACGCGTACAATAAATTTACGAAGTTCTAGATGTGTAAGTGT